CACCTCATAGTTGTCTTGGAGTTGATAACTAGACCCGCTGGTTGTGAGGCCCAGCCAAGATGTTCCCTCGCTACACTCTCCATGACCTCCACCTGGCACAGTGTCACGACGTGCTCTGCTCCCCATAGCACCAAATCGAGTGCCAAATTTTCAGCGTCAATCTCCACTCAACTCTCAAAGAGGCTGGCAGTACATGCTGCTTGCATCAGGGACAGTCTCGGAGGCCAGGTTGGGCTTGGCAGGGCCAGGCTGGGAGGCCAGCATGGGAGTATCAGGGCCAGGCTGGCAGTACACCCTGGTCGCGGCAGGGACAGTCTCAGAGGCCAGGCTGGGAGCAGCAGGGTCAGGCTGCGGTGTCAGCGGGGCAACGGCAGGGCCAGGGTGTGAGGACAGCTGGGGAGCTGCAGGGCCAGGCTGGGAGGCCAGCATGGGAGTATCAGGGCCAGGCTGGCAGTACCCCCTGGTCGCGGCAGGGACCGTCTCAGAGGCCAGGCTGGGAGCAGCAGGGTCACGCTGTGGTGTCAGCGGGGCAGCGGCAGGGCCAGGGTGTGAGGACAGCTGGGGAGCTGCAGGGCCAGGCTGGGAGGCCAGCATGGGAGTATCAGGGCCAGGCTGGCAGTACACCCTGGTCGCGGCAGGGACAGTCTCAGAGGCCAGGCTGGGAGCAGCAGGGTCAGGCTGTGGTGTCAGCGGGGCAGCGGCAGGGCCAGGCTGTGAGGACAGCTGGGGAGCTGCAGGGCCAGGCTGGGACCACAGGCTGGGAAAGGTAGTGTCAGACTGGGAGGACAGGCTGGGAAAGGCAGAGCCAGACTGGGAGGACAGGCTGGGATGGGCAGGGCCAGACTGGGAGAATGGGCGGGGAGGGGCACGCTTTGGGTACACATTGGGAGTTGTGGTCCTCTGGATGGTCATGGGCGGCTGGGAGCTTCTGCCACGCTGTTCTCCGTGGGTCTTCAGTCCACAGAATAAGCGACCAGTGCGGGGGACAGGCTCGCTGGCCGTCCACTGATTGTGAGGTGACAGTTCACAACCTGTCGGGTGCCATGATGTTTGATGTTTGG